GATTTGGTGGGTGACGTTTCGCGCTCAAATTCATTTGCAGAGGTCTATAAGAAAAATCATTTGAGACGTGTTTCACACTTTTCGCAGAATCCAAACTTTTTCGGGTGGAATGCGACTCAAAGCTTTTTTGTGCAAAGTTTTAAAATGTGTCCGATTTGCTTAAAACCTATTTTCAAAGCTCTACATAAGAATGTAATGAATGCCACTTTCAGCGATTTGGGAAATTCCACTCGCAACAGTGGTAAATTGGCGGAAAACGTTTGTATAAAATTTATTTGTTTACCGTCCGATCAGTTTCAAAATCATTTCAAATTTTTTTGCGAACATTGATTTTATAACATACGTGCCACGGGCAAGGCCGGGTTATACCCGCTAGTACATATATATATGTAATGGGGTGCTGTTTAAATGCTTGCCACAGGTGAACAACATCTCAAGTGGCACCTGTAGTTGGCACAGGCTTGACTGTCAGCACAAAACGAAAAACGAAAAAACGAAAGTTCGCCCCCAATTTGGCATCTCTTTATGCTCGTCGTATATAAAATTTTGTATGCTGAGATAAAAGGGAGCTAGGCATAAAAAAGAGAAAACAAAAACAAAACAACAAAGTGCAGGGCATAAAAGATACATGCCTAAGCAAATGGAAGGCCACCCCCAATACAAAAAATACACAAAACGGCAACAAGAACGTGCGCAGAGGGCGCTAGAAAATTTGAGGCGGGGCACTGGGAAATTGCAACACACGCGGCAGCTAGTGAGGCTACTGAGAGGCAACTCCGCCGTATCACACGGAGAGTTCGTTAACACGAAATAGCGTTGCAAGGGTCGCGTTGTTTTGGGGCTGCGGTGGCCTGGCCGCCCCCGCATTTAAAAGACGCAACCGAAACATGGCAACGTATGGAATGCCAAAAATTGGGGTAAACATAGAATAACACAAAATATAAAATGAAATAAAATATATTTAAGAGAAAATTTAATTCAGTCGCACCTTGTGTTGTTGCCTCCGTGGTGGGCGGTATCCATTTGTGCTGCGTGTTGCACATCGAGCCCTTGCAACAGCAGAAATGTATGTTACCCTGTCTCGGCTGGGTGCTGGTAATGCACGCGGTCTGATTGCACTCATGCATGTCCGTGAAACAGCCCTTCATTTTGATTTTCTCGATGCCTGCAGCAAATAAAAATAAAAACAAACAAAAATATAAACCAAAATTGTTGCAAATTGTTGGGTAAATGATGCAAGAGGCACATACCCGTCAGATCGTCGGCGCTCCACAAGACGTAGCAGCTGGGAAACTTGTCTGCCTCCACTTGGCAGCGCTCGATGGTGATGCCGCAATCATTGGGCGTATTGCAATCCTTTTCGTCATAGTGCTCGCAGTTAATGTTGTGCCCCTCGGGCAGGATAGCGCCACTGGCCAGTAGCAGCATCTGGCAGCCTGTCAAAAGAGAGCGAGACGACAGAAGTCAGTGATATATTAAAATGGTTTGCATTCTAGAGTTCTAGAAAATAAGTTGGTAAAATGGGCGCGACCGGCTGCCTTTGTAAACATATCACGTATCTACGACCTGTGGACCAACGACCCCAATTCCAATCCAAGCCCCAACGGGCTAGGGCTTTGCTGAAGCGGGGAGTCCTCAATGAGCGTTGCCATTGAAAGCCACAAGCAAAACTTTCCACGGAACACAGCAAACGCTACGCAACCCCAATTCGTGCAGAGGGCCATACAAAATTAGCTCCGCTGGCCACCAGAGCCTTTGAGTAGGCCCTTTAACCCCATTGCAACTGCAACTGCAACTGCTGCTCAGTGTCTGTCGCTGTGTTGGGGCTAAATGTATGCATGTATCTGAGCGCAATTCGCGCGCAAATCCACGTGTGAGTGGATACCATAACGGCACAGTGGTTCAATTCGTATTCAATTCGTATTTTTTAAATACAATATTATACTTCAAATAATTCGATTTCTAAAGGTTAGCTCAATATGGTATTTTTTTAAGTTTTCAAAACCAGAATTATAATAGTTCTTCAAAATACAAGTTTTACTAATTACTGGACAATTCTCCTTCCTTATTTCCGAACAATCCAACTTTATGTACATAATATAACAATCAATCAAAATGACCTCAATCAACCAAATTACTCTCAATTAAATTTATCTTTAAAGCATATAAAGATCAATAAATGTGATTTCCCTCTTTTTAGTATTGGTTTACTGAGAACATAAATTTGGCAAAGAATATTTAACAGCAGTATAACTTTAAATATGTATGTTAATATTATCTCCCCGGCAAAACCTTCAGTTTCAGCATATTCATTAACATTTGCAAATTAGCATCAATTAAATATGCTCAGCCCCACTGTGCATGGGTAATCGGATCTGTATGTGCATATGTAAGTATGCATGTGAGCGTGCGGGCATGCTTTATAGTAAAGTAGATACATAAGCATGCACATTATGCAGATTGAAAGGGGATGAGTTTAAAGTGGCGCTTGTTGAAAATAAAGAAACAACAGCGGGAGAGAAAACGGACTAGAGCCAGAGAGTAAGACTACAGATTTGCACCCACGCGAACGCACAAACAACAAGTTTCTAATGCAACGTCATCCATTCAAAGAAATCATTGCATGCAACATACACACATATACGCACATGTGTTGTTGAAAACAACAGAAAATCGCACTAAGAACAACTACAAAGCACGCGCCAAGCTATTCAATCAGGCGTAACAGGGGGCAAGGGTATAGGGGATGTAAATAATATCGACAGCAAGCCGTAACGTACAAACGAGAAGAAAAAAAACATACACACAGAAATACTAAATATATACACAGACGCACAAACACATGAACAAACTATGCTCAATACATACCTAGAATAAGCTGCGCCACAAGATAAAACAACTTGTATTCGTATTTGGACATTGTTATTGCGTTATCGCTGTAACTTGTTTACAACACAAAATGTATACGTAACTAGACACACGCGCGGTGGTTGGAGAATTTCTGTTTTTATTTTGGCACATATAAATTTTCCTTTGTGGAAATTGCGTTTTTACATTTGATTTGGCCAAGCTTTAGGTTGTAAACATTAAAGGCTTGCTGGTTGACTGCTTTCGTTGCACATTTTAATCCTAGAATTTAATATTTGATATTATGTATGCATATGCTGCGGTGTGTGTGTTATGTGAGTATGTAATTTATTTTCCGCTGCTGCAGTCGCAGCAAAGTTGCTGACCACACGTTTTTTCCATGTGCATTTTCACGTTTTCAATTGGTGTTATCTTTAATGTGGCTATCACATTTCCTTTGTGGCACTTTAAATGCGTTTGTATGCTGCATTTTATGCTTTTAATAAATTATTTTTAAGAGAATTATCATTTGCACGCAGTTCCTACACGCAACTACGATTGTCACAATAGGTACAAATGTACCAAAACGAAGCATATTTACCAACACACATCATTTTTAATGACAGCCCTGGTTGCACTGGTACGGTTTACCAGCACTGTTTTTAAGTGGCGCCCGAGCTCGGAATTGGGCGGCGTTAGGTATTTTCGACTAGACGCAATCGATAGATATTATAATTTGAATGGTCACACTTGGAGAAAATCAAAAATCCGTTTCTCTTTAAACGTAACCACTTATTTTTATTACGATATGCGAAAAAAAAAAATCATTTAATAGCCTGTTTTTACTGAACTTCACATCTAATATATGCAAATAAAAATCCCAATGTGTTTTCTCAGAAAGTCAAATGACTTCATCATGCGGTATAACGCGTCGACTGTCACGTTCTGCAATAGTTTATCTTAACAATGCACTGATTAGATGTCAGCGCATTGCATTCCAACAATAATACAAATACAATATTAACTTACAAATTTTATATACAAAAACGAATAATTTCCTCTAACTAGGATCACTTAGTTCCATCCAGCTTGGTCAGACCATCGGCATACTGAAACTCTGGGCTGTTCTCGTACTCGCACATGTCCAGAGCAATAACGCAGCTTTCCTTGACGACACGTTTATCATCATCTGCATAACGGTTCAATATCTGTATGCACTCCTCGGTGGCAATAGCGCCCAGTGCTTCGGCACACTCGTGACGCACCATTTCGTTCTCGAGGCGATCTTTCAGGTTCTCCTGCAAATACGGTATGCTGCATGGTTCCTGTAGCTGACCCAGGACAAAAGCAACCTCGTGCCGGAACAACGCCGACTTATCCTTGAGTCCTTCGGCCAGGGCCAGAACGCTCGCCTCGGTGCGCAGATTACGCAAACTAAACATGGCGCGATAGCGTTCGAATAGACTCTGTTTGACATCCAAATATATGGCCTTTAGCTCTTCCACGCTCGTTGTGCCAGCAGTTGGCGGTGATGGGTCCACAGATGCGTATGGATTCTTATCGTCCACCTGTTGACCGGTCTGCAGCCAGCGCACACGATCCAGTGCTATGGCGCAAGTCTCAGCAACTTCGACAACTGAATCCTCCTTGTATTTCTCGAGTATTGGCAAAACCTCAGGTTGGCCAATGGCGCCCAATGCTTCAGCAGCCTCATGACGCACCATGGGCTCTTGGGTGGTGTCCTGCAGCACTTTGCTGAGTATTTCCACGGCTTGAATGTCCTGCATCTGTCCCAAACAGTAGGCCAATTCGTGTTTTAGCAGTGCGGAATCATCATCAAATGCTTTGCTGATTGCCTCAATTGCTGCCCCGCCACCGATGTTTTTCAATGTGAACAGTGCACGGAAACGCTCCTTAAGCGGGCGTTCCTTATTGTTCAGTACACCTCCAATTGCTTTGATCTGTTCCTGCGATACCATTTCTGCTTTGCTTCAATAAATAAAAGTAAATAACGAGCAGCCTGCCTCGTGGAAATTTATCAAGTGTAATAAACAATTAATCGAATCTATTTTCCAACCACCACAGCGAAAGTAACGTACTTTTCAACACTGGCTAAAAAGGCCGCCATAAAAAATGCCTGTGCAACACTTATATTTAAGAAGAAGCAAATAGTCCAGTTGTTGGGTTACGTTTATCTTTGCCTCGTAAAGAAAACGTCAAAAAAGTGCGAAATACAGCGAATTTTCTGGCGAAAATTGGTAAAAACCGTATTTAAGTATATACCGGTGCAACAGTCGATTAGTAAATTATTTGGTATTTGTGCGAACTAAGTAAAAATTGCATTTAAAAAATTTGCGCGTTCACGGTTCGTTCAGCGTGGCGTGTGTATGTATATATGTGTGCGTAATATACCTGCTAGTTGGTTTGATTCGCTGTCTCAGTGCGCAAGGAGAGCAAGAGAGAACTCGCTACTTCGAAGCGAAGCATTGCAACTGAACGAAAACATTGCAAAATCCAAATAATTGTATTTTGTAAGCAATATTATTATCAATACCGCTATCAAAATGTCTGACGAGACCAGCATACAGAAACCGGAAGTAGAGGCCGTTGCAGAGGCGAAGGCTAACAACGAGGAAGATGCATCAATTCAACCGGCGGCGGATGAGAAGAAGACACCCGTAAGTGTTTAGAAATATGTATGAACCTACATACATATAAGTTTGCATATATATTTATATATGTATAGAGACGGTCACAATTAACACCGGGGGTCGTGCGATAAGAGCGCACTTTACAACTAACACAATCGCACTGTGACGAACAGAATTATCTGGAAGAGCGTGCGCATTATAAACGTATGTAGATGTTTGGGCTTACGCAGTATTATTTCAGAATTATCGAAATAACCCACACACACACGTATTTAAAAGTGTAATGTATTTGATATCGGGTTTTCTGCAATTTTCGCTTTTTCGTGTTGATGTTAATTATGTTGCCCTCGTGTGCGCGCGCTTTTCCTAACATCCCCCGTATGTGTGTGTGTATACGTACATATAGTGCATGTTTGTGTGTGTGTATTTATTTTTATATGTCGCGTGGTACACTCGCTGCAAGCAATCGGTAGTCCCTTTTGTGCACGTTTTGCCGCTGCGCGCGCGTCTGTCTCGTTCTCGTTTGTTTTTATTTTTCTTGTTCTCTTTTTGACTTTTTGTTGTTTGCTGTACTTTGTCATACATGGATGTATGTATGTATCTTAAATGTGTGTGCACAGAAGCATTAATACGTTGCGCTTCAGAACGGGCATTTATTTACTGTTAAATAGGAATTAGGCGGGTTGAATAAACGGGTTAACGATTTGTTTCACTTAAATTCAGTCGAAATCTCTTGCTGAGTCGTATCGTGAAATGTTTTGATGTGTATGTAAACAATCATTGTAGAAACGCACGCCCAAGCGTCGCTCCTTCATTGAGCGGGCTCAGCGTGAGAGTGAAGAGCTGGTGCGGACAATGGGCGGTACTTTGGAGCTAGAAGGCGGACGACGCACTCGATCCAGTACTCGCGGTACACCGACGCGAGCCGCTGAAACCGTAACGCCGCCACCGAGCAAAAAGGCGCGCACATCACCAGCGACGACTAAGAGCGGCGGACGGGGACGTGGAGCACGCAAATTGGATATAGGCGGAGGTGAGGAAGTTGAGCAAGAGACAGCTAAATCCAAGCCCGCCGAAGCGGAGGAGCAGGAAGAGCCGGTGCAGGCAAGCGAAACTGTGAGGCCAAATGTAAGTTGATTAATTTTTTTTTACTATTAAACATAATCTAACTTATATAATAAATTCAAGGTTGCTGCAAAGAAAGGAAAGAAAGAAGAGAAAGGTCAAAAGGCTAAGGGAGTTGTTGTAAAGGACAAGGTAGATACCAAGAGCAAAGACGATTCTGAAACTAAAGACACGGAATCGAAAGTGATTGCGTCCCAAACCACAGAATCAAAGGATCAGCCAGACTCTGCTGCCCAGGTGCCTGCAGCGCAAGAAGATAAACAAAACAATGTTGTTCACGACAAATCAAATACAAAGGAGCCTGAAGTGAAGGAGAAAACGCCTGAGCCATTGGCAAAACCCGAGGAACCAGCTAAAGTTGAAAGCCCACGGAAAAGTGATGCTGCTGCCCCAGATTCTGCCTCAGCCATGGAAGTGGATGACGAAGAAAAACAACAGCCTGCCGCTGTTACAACATCTTCCGATACTTCTGCACCTGCTGTTATTACAGAAACTATTGACGGAAAGAATGAATCAAAAGTATCCCAGGAAACGGTGAGCAGTGAAGAACCGAAAGTTGAATCCGCTGAACCCGCCAAGCAGCAGACACCGGAACCAATGGAGGTAGATTCGAGTTCGAAATTTAGCACCGAAACTACCAAGACCGTGTCACCCGTTAAGGAGGTTGTGCCAGTAGCAGCTGCCGCCGCAGCCGTCGAGTCTGAATCAGTTCAGACGATAATAAGCAATAACGAAGTCGTTGAATCGGCTATCGAAGTCAAAGAGGATGCACCAGCCGTACCGGAGAAGGAGGCAAATGCTAGCGAAATCGAAAGCACGTCAGCAGAGAACAGTACGACTAAAGCTGATGAAGCACCTGCAAACAATGATGTTAGCAAACTATCTGTGCCGGTTGCCCAAGCCGATACCGTGGTAACGGAGTCGCCACCAGCAGCCGTTAAGGAGCCTCAGGCCAACAGTGAAAACAAGTCCGAGCACAATGACAATGGTATGTCGATATATTTGATTTTGTAATCGAAAACCTTATAATTAAACTAAACAACTTGTTGCAGGCGAACCGAAGATAGTTAACAATGCCACCGAAGATGGTGAAAACCATGTAACGCCGCAGGCTTGCAATTAAGCAGAAGCAATATAATAATAATGATGATGATAATGAAAACCAATAACTATAGCTCGTGCCGAAAGTGTACAAGTGTAACTTCGACTCGATTCGACAAGTTGCCGCCAACAAATAAGCAAATAACTAGAGTTTTATCAAAAACTATGGCGCGCATAGATTTAATTCTGTTTCCATTGTCAAGTTTTCTTTTTATTCTCAAACCACAAAATGGTACGATTGCAATTCACTAACCATCTTCCAGTCTTCGGCTTAATTATTTTATGTCTTAGGCTGTAATCGATGCTGGATTTTAAATGCTGATCTGTGTGCGCAATATATAGAAACAAACACATACAGCAAATAGAAACTAACACACGTAGATCTAACCCGCCAACACACCCCCAGCCCCCCTACACACACACACGTACACATTGTTAAAAGCATCCAACTATAAATAATATGTATGTGTAAATTTAATTAAATTGGAAACAAAACAAATACATTATTGAGAAATGTATGTAAAATAGATGTTTTTAAATTATAAGACATAATCTTTAATACAAGTCTAATTTTAAAACCGATTTGGACAACACTCAAAACCCCAGAAAAGATTTTTAAACAACTGATGCGTCGTTCAAGAATTTAAGTACATAAGCATTCAACTTTACCAATGCCATTCACACTTACCTGGCTATTCACAATACATATTACGTATATATCTCTACTTATTTTTTTGTTTAATTTCTATATAATTTTTCGTATTTTGAACACCGCTCACATAAAGCATTTAGTTTTTAACGTTTTGTCATTATGTAATTTAAACGGATAAACCTATATCAGATAACGCATCAATTGTATTCCGCATAGAAATTGCGAAGTGAAAACAAAAGTCTTTTCCACAATCTTAACTAAATTACGAGTAGTACTTTAAAATTTTTCAATGAAAAATGCTATATATAAACAAAAACACAAAAAAAAAAAAACAAAAAAAAAACAACCAACACAAGAGCGTAAAAATACTTTGGAACTCTTTTTATAACTGAAACAATCAGCCGAGGCCGTTTTTGTATGTAGCTGGATACTTTCTGTGTAAGAAATTCTTCATTTAAATATTCTTTTGTAAATAAATCTTTTAAAAATACAAAAGAGAGATAACATTGTGTATTAACTAAATATAGTTGTAAGTAACAATTTGGCTAAACCTATGCCGCACCATTTTCCTGCACAGCTTTTGTCAATGGTTCCCTTAATGGCAGCTCCTCTAGCTCCAGCACCGGATCGGGCACATTTAACATGTTGCGCACAAATGGCGAATACAATTTTGGACTTTGTTTCTCATTTCTGTCCGGGCGCCAAACATAGCTCATGGGCACTGCCCAGACGAATATCAGAATAGCGCCCAATACCTTGTACCAATAGAAAGATATATCATAGATTGAAAACTCCCGATTGCTGCCGAAAGCGGTGGTCACATTGGTGGGCACAGGGGCAGCTGTTGTTGTTGCTGTAGCTGTCTGATTTCTGGAAGTCAAGAGACATGTTTAGTATACATATTTATACAGGGGGGTTACCTGGCTTTGCCCGGGTACACTTTAGGCACTGCCCTTTAACCTATTTAAATCAATTATATATTTTACAAAGATATTTTTAAATGCTGTTGCATGAAAAACAAAAAGTTACAACCACAATCCTCCGTGACTTTGAAATTCGGTGAAACACGTATTCAATCGTTAATAATATACATACAACCTTTGACCCACAAACAGTTTTATATATGTATATAGAAAAATTAACACTTACATTGCATTAAAAATCGTGTCTAGGCCACGCGCCTCACACTGATCCAAGCTATTTGGCAATACTTCATATTTAATAAGGCCCGCCTTGATGTTCATCTGCGCATTGATGATGACCCACAGCATGGCAAGCACACTGAACAAAATGCTGGTCATTGCTACCTTCCCATTGACACGGGGCACAAACATGCCCAACAGAAAGATACCCACAACGGCACCCGTATTGATGCCCGTAATCGTCCACATTGTCTGCAATATTGAGTTGAAACGCTGCACAATGAACCCGCCCACAATACAGTAGCCGCCCATGGCAATGATGACCAGTTTCATGAATCCATTGGCCCGTGCCTCCGTATGCCGGATATGGGGCTTGATATAGTCAAAGTAAACAACGCCGGCGAACGAGTTAAGATTAGCCGAAAGCGAACTCAGGGAAGCACTGAACACACACGAGATGAACAGTCCCGGCATGCCAGGCAGATTACCCATTATGTCCTGTATAAAGAAGGGCATCATTTTGTCCGGCTTGCTGACCAGCTGTGGGGGAGAGAACAGAGGGAGCTTAGTTCAAATGGAAGTGCACTAGACGTGTGGACTACTTACGCCTGCCAGCATGGGATCACAGCCGTAATAGCGGGCAAACATTATGATGCCAGCAAACGAGGTAAAGAACATGATAATCAGAAAACCAAAGCCCGCAACAACAAGAGATCTGTTGGAGAGTTATGAGTTATGAATATATATATATATATATATATTGGAAGAGTTCGTAACGCTCGGCTTACTTTTTGGCATGCGCATACGAAGGCAAGGAGACAATGCGCTGTACACAGCTCTGATCAAGTCCAATTTTGCCCGTCCAAAGTAGTAGGCCGCTGGTCATGCTGTTCCAGAAAGTGGCACGTATTCTTGGATCAAGTCTAAAACTACACGTGACACAAAAGTTGTTGTTGGCATTAAAACGCTTCTCGAACCAGTTGGGACTTACTCAAAGTTAAAGCGACCGCCCTCCGAGGCATACTCGAGCACAGTACCCAATCCACCTGTTCGCATAGTGCCCAGAACGCCCACCATTATAACAGAGAGCAGCATAACGCCAGCCTGAACCACATCCGTCCAGACGACCGCCTTAATGCCACCCAACATGGTATAGAAAACGCAGATCGATGAGATTACGGTATTGATTAGGTGAATATTTATGCCGGTCACTGTAAATAAAAGTAAATACGCGTTAAAATATATGTGTTTAAGTGAGTGTAGCTCTGATTTTCCGGGCCAAGATTTTTGCACATGTAAACATTAAATTTTTCACGATTTCCACTCTGCGAAGTGGAATTTCCAAAAGCGGCGAATTACTATAACATTTTGCATAAATATTTAAAAATACATTTGCACAACAATTTTCCACATTATCATTAACTTCTTAGTGTAGCTATGAAAATAAGTTAAAATACGATCAGCCAGAAATTGAAATTACAAATGCTCAACTATTGATCTAAATTTTTACCGTGGGGTGTGGATTTTGTGAAAACTGTGGAACGAAACTTAATATATTAAATAAGACTAAATAAATATTTTGAAGCAGATCGAAAAAAAAACAAAAATTGTATACAATAGTTTCACACGCATATTCCACACTTTTAGGTGGAACTATGCAAAATCGACGAAACATTTAAATGTTAAATTTTTAAAATATATACATACCTTGAGAGAATGCCAGTGAGGGTATGAACATATAAACCGGCAGCATTAGGAATTGATTCAAAACAAATGTCAGCGTCACAAATTGACGAGTGCGTTTATTGAATCGCATCTCCAGATACTGTGAGTAAATACAAATATATAGTAAACAAACAGATAAACGACTATTTACACCAACCTCATAACAATTGACGACATTGTTGTCATAGAAGACGGGCACAATTATATATATCAGTATGGGAACAGTTGGTATCATGGCTAGCACCGCGAATATAAAGTTAAAGCCATACGTATAATTCTCAGTGGGAATGGACATGATGGCAACACCTGACAGTTGACTGAAATGGAAAACAATTTCTTCTATAATAAAACTATTTCATACATATATTTCAATAATCCAAAAGAGGGCGCGAGCGCATGAAATAATAACATTTATCTTAAGCGTCATAAAAATAAACTAATAACCTGATGTAATCTGCATTTACAAAACCTTCAAACAGATAAGTTAAGATAACGCCTGAAAGGCGTTGACTGACATTGACTTTTGTGAATGATGAAACTGGCTAAAACCGATTGCCACTAGGGCGCACTGGATTTACGCACCTGGAGACCAAAGATATGGCTATGGGCAGCGCCTGCATCTTCTTGCCGCCACGCAGATATTCCTCTGTGGTGTTCTTCGCCTTGGAGAAGAAGCCAAAGTACACGCCAATGGCCGCGGACACACTCAACATAAGTATGAACACCGTATAGTCGGTCCAACCGAATCTCAAGTCCTCCACTTGTGCCGTGGCTGCAGCTGCAGTGCTGGCCAGTGTAGTTGTGGGCCCCGACATGCTGAGGCTCCTAGAATCCTTGACACTTCCACAGTTCAATTCACAGCGCGTGCAGCTGGTCCGGATGCTGTCAGCACACTTAGGATCGGCACAGTCGGATTGTTTTACTTAAGTAGAGATCACAGGTAGCTTATCAGCAGCAGGCATATCTGCTAGACGCTGTAGTAAAAGTTGATGGTCCATCATAAAACAGGGCCATTAACTACGCATTTTTCTAACGTTTAAAGGCTTCTGTCTTTCAGGTGCTTCGTCATGTCAAATGCACATGACGTGGTACCAGCCCCCAATTGGCTTTATTCAATAAGCCAAGCCATAGGCGATTCCATTCGAATCTGATTAAAAGCGGAAGCTACAAATAGATTGGTAGTCCCATTGCCTGCTTTTAGGGGGCGTTTCCTCTGATAAGAACTAGAAGCCAATAGAATTATTATCTTCAGTGTGCCGCAAAATGAATACCCTTACGGACATAGAGTCGAGGCACGGTTTTTTTCTCTATATATATTCATATTTTAAATATATATATATTATATTTTGATCAGTATATGATGATTATGATCGGTACGACTTGGCTTGGTTAGCGAAATTCGTAATTGTTAAGTTTGGCTAGGATGTCTTTCTAAAAAAATACAAAGATTCAATGTTTGACTGATAGTTTCATTCTACATGATATTTTCCGATTTCAATTTTGATTTCGCCCATATAAGTACGATTACTTCATGAGGGTAAGAACTGTAAAGGAAACCAAGATTTGATTCTGAGCAGATTGAATTCTGTCAATCTTCTAAAGTATTTATAATCTAGGGCAGCTATACCACATCTTCTAGGGCATATCTGTTTATAGTATGTCAAATCTATCTATCTTATCATCTAATCTAATATTTGTTACATATGTTATAATATTTGTATATCTTCCGAAAGGGTATACAAGTGTCTTTAAGGCTCTTTAGGTTTACCTGACGTAAATCAGGTAGCAAAAGTCGTAATGTTCCATGGGGAGAGAGAGTAAAGCCCATAATTAATATAACCACAAGGTTATCTGAGAATGACAAGCAAATTCTAGGCGCCAGGCATTGTGTGATATTAGATATGTTCGCGTGAATCATATAAATGCACGAACTGGGAGACACATTAGAATATATCATAATTAATATATGCATAGGCTTTATTAAAATTTCATTAATCAATAACATTAGGATGAGTCCAGTTAATTAGTCGGTATATTCTCCTATTTCGTCTCACCTAAATCTATCTTAAGCTCCGGACCTGCCTTCAACTGGGATCCATTCAGTGGCAGTTCTTCCAATTCGTGAACAAGATTCGGCTTTAGGAATTTCCTTACAAACGGTGTATAGAGCTTTGGATTCTGGGTTTCCTGCTTGTCCGGCTTCCAAATGTAGCTCATGGGTACTGCCCACAGGATCGTTAAGAGAATACCCAATCCTTTGTACCAATAAAATGATATGTCATAAATGGAGAATTCGCGATTGCTACCAAAGGCGCCCGTCACCAAAGGTGGCCTCGACTTGCTCGGTGCCTCAGTTATGGAGCTGTTGTTGTTTCTATTAAATACAAAATACAATAAACAAGAACTGAGTCAATTTATGTAGCTTTAAAGGGCGTGGCAAATCGCTTACATGGCATTCGAAATCATTTGCAAATGCGACACTTCGCATTGATCCAGGGAATTGGGCAGAACATCATATTTGATGAGGCCGCTCTTGAAGTGCATCTGCGCATTTATGATAATCCAGAGCATGACAAACATGCTGAATAAAATGCTCGAGCCGGCGACCTTGCTGCTCGCACGCGGATAAAGCATGCCCAGCAGGAACACGCCCACCACGGCGCCAGTGTTGATGCCGGTGATGCTCATCACAGTCTGGATTATGGAACTGAAATTCTGCACCATATAACCGCCAACAATACAGTAAACACCCATGCCGATGATAATTAGCTTCATGGTCGCATTGGCCCGCGCCTCCGTATGCCGAATGAATGGCTTAATATAGTCAAAGTAGACCACGCCCGCCAGAGAGTTAAGGGTGGCTGAGAGAGTGCTCAGCGCAGCGCTAAAGACGCACGAGATGAACAGTCCCGGCATGCCAGGCAGATCGCCCATTATGTCCTGTATAAAGAAGGGCATCATTTTATCCGGCTTGCTGACCAGCTGTGGGCGAGAAGACAAAAGTTAAGTTTGTATAAAACTGGAAGTGCGGACTACTTACGCCTGCCAGCATGGGATCACAGCCGTAATAGCGGGCAAACATTATGATGCCAGTGAAGTTCATCATGCCCATGATGATCATAAAACCAATTCCAGCAATAACAAGCGATCTGTGGAATGTAATTATATTTATACTAGCTGTTATTTTCCAGATCTATTTTTTAGGCCATCAATTCCTTATTCCACTCAAGTTATATTTTACATAGTTTTTTTTGAAAATGAGTTTTAGGTTCCTCGTGTAAAATATAAAAGGTTAGAAACATCGTTTTCCGCGAATTTTTAATTATTCTTTCCAGCTTTGAAAATCATTTTGAAACCGATCAGACAAAACTAAAAGACTTAATCAGACAACCTTTAAACAACAATTTCCAACCAGGTAGGATGAAATTTCCAAAAAAAAAAATGCGAAATGCGAAGTCACCCATGGAAAGTGAATTTCTTTCGTGGGAGTAAACTTGAACCTGCAACCTAACCCAATCGTTGAGTTCCATTGCCGCGAAGGATGGAGACGTTTTGAATATCCTTTCAAAAGATTTTCAATCAAATATCTTTGACATTAAGTTTAGGCCGGTCGAAACAAAAGCGTTTCATTCGATTTCCACGATTTTTTCACACTTGCGGGAGGAATTGCCAGTTTTATATTTAAAGATATTAAGCCTAGTCATATGTATTTACTTTTTGGCATGCGCATATGAAGGCAAGGAGACAATGCGTTGCACACAGCTCTGGTTGAGACCAATGTGACCCGTCCACATAAAGATGCCTCCAAACAAGGCGTTCCAGACCGTAACGCGTATGCGTGGATCCAATCTGAAACTACAAATAAAATGTTGCTTCTTAGAAATCGATAGTATAATTTTTTTTTGTAAACTGAATACTTACTCAAAATTCAAACGGCCACCATTGCTGGCATTCTCGAGTACCGAACTGAATCCGCCAGCCTGCATAGTGCCCAGCACGCCCACCATTATCACCGAGATCAACATGATGCCACCCTGCACAACGTCCGTCCAGACGACCGCCTTAATGCCGCCCAACATGGTATAGAAGACACAGATCGAGGAGACCATGGCATTGATCAGGTGAATATTCATGCCGGTGACTGTAAAGGGATATGGAAATTAGGCTTAAATATAGTTAGGGTAGCTGGCAATCAGAATACCTTGCGAAAAAGCCAAAGAGGGTAGAAACATAAACACGGGCAGCATGAGGCACGAGTTCATCACGAATGTGGCAGTAACCAACTGTCGGGTCAATTTGCTGAATCGTATCTCCAGGTACTAGGACAATCGATAAATCGGATTAGTAAATTGACTAGTAAAAACAGAGTTCTCGCTTACCTCATAACAATTGGACACGTTGTTCTCATAAAACACAGGCACTATAATATAAACCAGAATGGGCACAACAACCACCATCGCGATGACCACAAAAATGTAGTTAATACCAAAGGTATAAGTCTCGGCCGGCACGGACATGATGGCAATGCCAGAGAGTTGGCTAAAATATGTAAATAACTGAATTTAATCTTTTACTTAGACACTACTGGGTATTTTTTCAGTCAAGCTTATAGCTTGAACTTTTCCAGCCATCTTTAAAACCACTCATGAATTCCAATGTCTCAAATTATATGTTTCATTAGCGGGTATACCCGGCCTTGCCCGTGGTACGTTCAAGTCCTCTCAAAGATCTTTGAAAATGAGTTTGAAACCGATCGGACGGTAAACCAATTTACCACTGTTGCGGCCGTAAATTTCCCAAATCGCTTGAACAGGTATTCATGAAGTTCTTATGTAGAGCTTTAAATATAAGTTTGAATCAAATCGAACAAATCCTAAAAACGAAAATAATGTTGATAAATTGATCTAGAGGCCAAGCAATGAAGAAAGACCCAAACCTCGTAAAAATCGCATGAGTTTTTACCGAGTTATAGAAGTAGGAAATTTCGATCTATGTCTATATAGGATATTTGAAATACATATATATTTTCACATTAATTTTCACTGAAAATAATGTAGCCAGATTTTAATGCCAAATTGATCGAGAGGCCAAACCATCAACAAAGGCAAAACCCCTTGAAAATCGGATGAGATTTGACCGATTTATAGAAGTGGGAAATTTCGATCTATGTCTATATAGGATAGCGGGTATACCCCTATCAAAGATCTTTGAAAATGAGCTTGAAACCGATCGGAAGCTAAACAATCGGGCGAAATTTCTCAAATCGCTTAAACACGTATTCATCAAGATCTTATGTAGAGCTTTGAAAATAAATTTAAAGAAAATCGGAAAAAAAGAAAGAAAAGAAAATGTTAGGATTGCAATTTTTACCGGGGAATCTTTGATTTTACAAAAAATTACGTCTCAAATGATTTTTCATATAGATATGAAAATGTTTTTAGAAACTTTTTTCACCGATTTTTAACATTTCCAAAACGCGCACTTATATACATTGCATAAGGAACTACCGTATATATTTAGATAATCACTAATCAGTCAGGCAATCATTAATACAGTCTGTATTATAAGTATATATACAGGTGTGCTGTATAGGTTTAAATCCACAATTCTTCACTAATATTCACTTGAAACCGAACGCACCTGGCCACTAAGGACACAGCTATGGGCAGTATCTGCATCTTCTTGCCACCCCGCAGATACTCCTCGGTGGTATTCTTGGCCTTGGAAAAGAAGCCAAAGTACACCCCAATGGCTGCCGAGGCGCATAGCATAAGCGTGAAGACCAGGTAATCCGCAATACCAAATGTGAGCGCCGCGGCCGTAGCGGCTGGCCCTGATGTGGATGAAGCCAAGGTTGTAGTACCTGACATGGTGGCTGTTTCT